TGGTGAGGTCACGAAAATGACCTGACCTCATATGACCTTTAGGAAAAATCCGAGATATACAAGTTGTGGGACTCATAATGGATACTAGATCCTGCAAGTTTCATTTCCCTGTGACATCTCCTCTGGCAGTGAGGGCGTTGCGAAGTTGCGACATCTGAAGACCGTGCAGAGGTTCACTTATGACGTCATAGGTCAGTGACCTGACCTGACCCAAAATTGCGGTTGGTGTCAAAAGATGCGGCTTGGATCAAAGGTCAGGTATGCCAAGTTTCAGCTCTCTATCGCCAGCGTGTTCGGAGCTATCGCGAAAAAACCCTATGGGGGGGGGGGGGGCGGCACCCGCCCCCCCCCCTCGGCCGGCGAGGGTTAATCAACAAAAAACGCTTGATTCACCAATCGTCTTTCTAAACCCTCGCCGGACCTATTGGTTTTCTACATAGCTACCCGCCGGCCGGGGGGGGACGGGTACGACCCCCCTCGCCATTTCACCCTGGTGGAGCTAGCGCGTCGCGGAAAAACGAGCGTATGCGCCGTTACGAGACGCAGAGATCGATACCCGATTTGAAGGTCCTAGGTCACCGGTAGCCTCTGAGGTCAAGGTCGCCAAGGTCCCAAGGTATGGTTCCGTTTTTGGCGAATAACTTCGCAAAATACCGCTGCAGAGCCGCGATGTTGGCAGCATCGTGTTTGCCTCGCTCAGGCGTGTCGAATGATATACTTTTTGTTTGGGTGAGGTCAATTTAGGGTGTTGTTGACCTCAGGTCACGGTCGGGTCAGCGCTCCCAGGTCACGGAATATGTCGAAGGAGGTAAGGTCGTATAACATTCGATACGGCAAGTCTTCCTGAGTCCGTTGGTGGCCTTCCCGACTCGCTAGCTCAATTTGATCGGGAGTTATTAACGAAAAACCAATATGACCCTAATGACGTCATATATGACGTCACGCAAGGTCAACATTGCAAAAGTGACGCATCGAACCTTGGGGAGTGCATGAAATCACGATTCTGTGTGCTTGAGATAGTTGGAGATTGTTGCCGGCGCCAAAATAGCAGTTTTCATTTTTTCCCATCCGACGTTGGCATGTTTACTGGGTTAGCAGGCTTCTAACTGCCATATTTATTGTTGGATTTACTAGAAAATTCATCATACATTCTCACAAATGTATGTTCTTTCGTATAGTGAAAAAAGAAAGAAAATCGGCCGGTAACTTTTTGAGTTATCGGCGTGTAAACGCAAAAAAGTCGCTCATATTTGACCACATTTGACCTCATTTTGCCTTGAAGATATTGACCTAGGGTCATGAAATTCGCATACAACAGAGTTCCCTAGGGCCCCCACCTACCATCCAAATTTCGTCTTTCTAGCTCCAGTGGGAGCTGAGATCTTAGGGGGCGACTCCCCGCCCCCCCCCCTCCACTGGGCGTAGGTAGTGCTTGCAACCCAGTTCCACTGCGCGTGTTAACCCGCGCTGGGCCGGGGGGGGGGGGGGTGTTTGAACACCTCTCTGCGGTTTTCCGCAGATATCTCAAAAGGTCATGACCTGAGGTCAACTCTGAGGACAGGGACGTCGACACCGGTCCGACTTTTCCGACTAGTCGGACCACTTTTTCGACTAGGCGGTGCCCTGCTGTGGCTCGCGGGGGCCCTGCTGTGGCCGCGGGGGCCCCTGTTGGGGCTCTCGGGGGCCCAGCTGCGGCCACGGGGGCCCCTGCCTAACCTAACCTAACCTAACACCTGGGGGCCCCCACCGGTGGGGGCCCCCCGAGAAAAAGTCGGACCAGTTTTCCTTACGCGTCGACGCCCCTGTCTGAGGATATGTTGGCGAAAGAGCGTTTAAAGAGCTATATCCAATGCGCTTTTTCGCGGCGCTGTAGCTCTATCGGTTCCCGCTCCGAGTTAGACGTTGGCAGTTTCCAAAATGTTGAAATAAGCAACATTTTTCTTTTGGTGACCTCTGGTGACCTGACCTTTGACCTGACCAAAAAAAAAATGAAAAGGTCCTTGAGTTGTGAAGGTGCGCACTGCGCATGTTTCGGACTTGGTACCTCACCTCGGGACTTGACCTTTTGGGCTAGGGGGTCAAAAGTCGCACACAAGACGTGCTATTTAATTGTGCGCATGCATGCCAGGTTCGCCATGGGATGCATGCCGCCGTTTTCAAGATATTCGCGGAAGTCAAGTAGGTGGGGAGGCAGATTCCGCCGCCCCTCCGGTGTTGCTCCGGTGCGCCTTATCACCATTGTAACCGTCATGCTGAAAAAAACGAGCCTGATGTCATATGAGAAAAGCATGATTTCGTTTAAGAAAAGTGTTAAATGTACCATGAACACGATATTTTCCGCTTAAATCGCATTTAGAAAAGTGCCACCCAGCATCGCCGACTGTGGCGGTCGGGAACTTCTGACCACTTCCAGGTGGCGCTAGTGAGCCTCCATGCGGGAACGACTCGGCGCTGGTGGCGCCGCGCGAGTGGGCCGTCTAGGTACTAATAGAGGTCAATGGCAGCAATATTTTGACAAATCTAGCGCAACAGTTATGTTCATTTTATGCTGTTGGCTGCTTATGTATGGTTTCATTAAAATTTTTGCGAAATTTCATTCATGAAATAGAGCGAACGATTTTACTGACGTGAGTCTCTGAACATTATATTTTTCTTGGGAATCCATTCTGCTGAATGCCGCGTCGCCCGCAGCACATGGCCACGTTATATAGAGAACTAGGTAAAACCGGTTCGAAATTACAACACTAAGGTATTTTGACCACTATTTTCAGCTGACCCCTTAAGTCTAAAAAAGAGAACTAAGCAACAAATTCCAATGAGTTTTATTATTTGTATATATATTTTTGATTTATGATCAGAGAGCACGCCATGTATGAATCTGCGAAGCATTAACGAAAATAAATTGTTGGCTATCTCCGCCATTTCAAAAATTATATATCTAAAGTTGCAAGGATTGTTCATAGACAAAATTGATTTTTCACAATCAAAATTTAAAATTAAAGGACAAAAAATAATATCAAAGGCCAACTAACTTTTGTTGAATTTCGAAATTACCATGGTTCTGAGCTGTTCAGCCTACCCGACCTGCCAATGCTCTACCATGAATTGTCGAGTAATTTCAGTGAGTTGGGGCTTAAAGGGACCCTCCCACCTTCAAAAAAGTTAATGAATTGGCATAAAAGTGATGTAGCGTGAATCACAAAGAGCGGAAATGAACATCTACCAAATTTTACCGGAAAATATTCACCCGTTTTCGAGATATAAGACTTTTATTTTTGTTTACTTTTTGGGAACTCCGCTGCTTCTATGACGTCACATAAAGGTTTTCTTTACGTCGGCATTTGGAAGCAATAGTTTGGTATCAAAGTGCGACAAATATTGCGCGAATGATACGTTTATCTTATCAAGGTCAATATATGATAGCCAATAAAGAATTCCAGGATAATTCTTCTTATGGCATTTCTGCATATTTACGTCTGGACAACGAGTTGCGTTGGAGAGGCCGGAAATAGTGGCGATTTCTGGACCGCAAGAATGGACCGTCATTGGAATGATTCTTTTTCAAACCGTGCACTGTTTTTAGCCGGAATTTAATAGTTACTACAAAATATTTTTGTCATTACATTTGGCTAAGAATGAATGCCATCAGGGAAGGTTTTACTGCCGCTGCATTTTGTCCAGAAACATATAGTGCTGTTATATTGCAGTTTTTGCGCTTTTGTTACAAAATATGAAGCGAACATGCATCAGGCTCTCGTCCATCCACTAAGAAGTTATTAAATATTTTGTTTTGTGTATTCCAAGAGGAGAGGAAACTATTTTATTTGTGCCTTCATTGAGAATTGAAGATCGATCATTAAATTTTCAAGGCAGTTAATCAATCAAACCAAGCATTTAGTCATTCTCGTATAGCAGTGGCTATAAGAAGAAAAGGTTGATAAATACTGAAGTTCAGTCATCTTACTTCAACTTGGCAGCAAGATCCCAGAGGATAAAGGATATAAAAAGTATACCTATCCTGTAAATCAAAGCATTTTGGTGCCTGCAAAGGCTTGCGTTATTTGTGGTGTGCTCGCGGAGTGAGGCTTTGGGCGTTTTTGTTGTGTTTATGTGGAGATTGAATATAACTGTGACCCTGTGTTTGTTTGTGTATTTACTACAGTCAAACATCACATTCACATAAAATACTCACCTAGCTCATAGGTGTACCCTGCAGAATTTGTACTTGTTGATGTCTGGAGCATGAACAAAGCACTAAAGTATCTCAATTATCATTTCCCACATTTTCTGAGCATCTAACATGGCAATACAGCAGTGCAGAGCAGCTTCAGAGAAGAAACACTTTCAATGCACAGACTGACACCAGCCACCCAATGAGCCAGTTCCTCATTTGGCTGTTTCCATGGATGCGGCTTGGCAAAGGTGAGCTAACTTGGCAACGGCTTGACGCGAGCTGTTTTTAAGTTGTTAGCAGGTAAGATTGAGTCATGGTGAGTATCTATCATATAACTGGGTGCTTCTGCTATGAGTAGATTGCAAATATGTGTGATGATTGAGGTTAGGTTAGGTTAGTCAGGGCCCTGTTTCACCAGTGATAGCAGCACGCTGCTTATACACGTGTCAAATTGGGTTTCCATGGAAACATCAACAGGCCCATTGCTCCAACACTACCACAAGTGTGACGTCAGTTCGTGCAATTGGATAGCAGCGTGGTAGCAGCATCCCGTGAAACACCGCCCTGGTCACATTTTTTATGGACACCTGGCAAATTAACTAAAAACTAGCATAACCTAATCTAACCTGACCAAACTAAACCTACACAACTACTAACTATAGGCACTAAGCACCTAAGTTCTTGTGCCTACATCTCATACCAACTCAAAATAAAGTTCCTTGCTGGAAGATAACCCTCCAGTACATTTTATAACATCCCTGTGAAGAAGACTAATACTTCTAAATCCTGAGTCACACTTCTGGCCATCCACAGAAAGAAGCGCTGAGAGCTTTGCTATTGTATATTGGACCAAAGATCATTGTCACGAATGACTATTAACACGTATTATATGATCATATCGTTGCATGGCTTGTCACATTCACAATTTTACTGAAATCCTTTTTCAAGAAATGCAAAGTTTCATTTGCCAGACACTTGAGTAATGCACATTACCATCTGCATAGCAAAGTAAAGCTGCCTGAGTTCGCTCATTCTAGATTTTTTCACTTCATAGTCAGCGCTTCATAGTTATAATCTTGCTGTTATAAGTTATAATTAATTATTCATCCCAATACATCAATAGACAATATGCAATCATCATCAGCAAACATTTTCTGGCTTGATACTGCTCGGCGTACTCTTCAGTATTGATCTCCTGCAATAATATGGCTTGTTTTTAGCCAATAAGCTCTTTTAATTTTACTTTTATTGCTGATAAGTGAGCCAGATCAACCTGCGTTTATCAACCAACATTTCATAACTTCAACTTGATCTTGCTCAGGACGATCAGGACCTCTCTTAGCCTCCTCCTGGATACTTGGGATTGTTTTCAGTCAACATGCTTCTTTAATATGCTATAAGTCAATCACAAGAGATTTAAGACATCCAACAAAACGTACACGAGTACACGAGTACGAAAACCTCCAGATGAACTCGAAAAAGGCCTTGGAACAGAGCCAAGTGGAGAGCCCAAGTGGTGCTCCGTTTGTTTGTTTACAATAATAGTAGTACTGATGTATTGTTTTAGGACTCTAACGTTCGGCTTATAAAAATTGAAACATTTTTACAAAATCTGTAAGGCAAGTAATATTTCTCTGAAAGAACTAAAATATTCAAAAGCCAAACACTATGAAATACAGGAATCGGAGCGAAAAAGTAACCCAAAAAACCAGCCTAATCACCGACTCCTAAAACTGCGACAAAATCAGCACTTTTCCCCGCAACTCGTTGTCCAGACGTAAATATGCGGCATTTCTTCGTATCGCAATTCTTCGTCTGCAAATCTTCGTCAGGGCATTTATTCGTATCGCATTACTCTGTCTCGCATCAGGGTATATGAAAATCGGCTCGCATTTCTTCTTCAACGCAAATATATGCAAGAGTAAGAGGGACAAATAAATGCACCGACGAAGATTTGTAGACGAAGAAATGCGGACGAAAAATTGTGCTACGAAGAAATGTCATGCGAGGATTCGTTCGGGTACCATGACATTTATGTGATTTCAAAGTCAATGTTCACAGCTGATCTGCTAAATCAAGCCAAGAATCCAAACTATCAAAAAACTATAAATATTTGTTATTCACAGAGGTCTCAAGCAATATAAGGTTGACATTGTTGAATCAAAGATCTGCTGCCACAACTCACATCTCCTGCCTTAGTTTATCATTGTTGTTTTAACTTGCTTTCAAGAGAAACAGAAGCCAGTATCTGATATCACTTCAGATGATTGTTTCAAGATCTGAGTTCAAATGGAAATAAAAGCAAGATCAAGATGAAACAAGGATTATTGCTGTTAAAGTAGTTTGGCCATGATACAACAAGCACGTAAATCATTAGCCAAATCAAATACTGGTTGGTTTGTCAAGATGTTTGTTGTCTGTCGTCTGTCGAGCTGCTATGAACACTGAACGCTCTCACTCTTACTTTAAAGAGAGTAGTTTAAGTTGAATGGTAGTGAGCTGTAATTAGACGAAGCAGCTATTCAGTGCTCACATCAAGCCAGGCTAGGAAATGGCATCAACTGTGGTGGGAGGAAGCAGGTTCGGCAGCCCTATGTTGTAAACTTCTGTTGTGTCTTGTGTTGGATCAACTGATGTTTTCTGCTCTGTTTTGTGCAGTGATAGTAGCAGGTAACTGCATGTCACTTGTCAAATTATGTGAATAAACGAATTCATAGCATTGCATTTTTCTCTCCATGCAAGGAACAAGTAAGATGTTGTAGAAAATGTAATAGAGGGCTGCATTGCTGATTTTGCACTTTATCAGAGCTTTATTTAGAATTGCTTTCCTGAAAGCTACACACAGGCCACAACACTGAAATTCACAATGTCATAGCTTTTGGCAGAAAAAAAGAAAAGACTTACCTAGGTAAAATTGGCTGAAAGTATGACAGAGCAGGTCTTGATGCGTATGCCCATCCGTGTGCTTGCTGAAGCCGAACTGACTCTGCAACACATTAACTCTGACCCACCATGGTGGCTGGCATATCCTGAACTTTCACCACTCTAAACAAGACAACTTTCAGCCCTCAGCATTGTATTAAAACACTGTACATGACACTCAAAATTTGTTTCAGTGCCATCCACAGACAACATCAGTCGCCATTCACCAGGCCAGTAAAAACAGAATAGGTAATAGCTTCAAACCCATGTAGTCAGAGTTACTAGGTCTGCACCTCAAAACAAAATCCAGGTGACATTCACCACGCCAGTAAAAAACAGGTACTTAGGTAACTAACGGCTTCAAATCTGGTAACATGTTGGTCGGACTTTACACTACCATATTTACATGGAATAATATGATACCAAACAATAGTGCAACCATTCTGGACAACAAAAGCGTATGATAAAATTAATTTAGAATACTTTGGCAGCATGATTTACGAGCACGGGCAGGTGTTACCTACCAGCCTTCTCAATGCTCATAAAACCAACATTGTAGTTTTGATTTTACCTTACATGATAACACACTTGGCTGCAATGGCACATTTAATTTAATACTGTGAAAAGACCAGTTATAACCACTTCACAAGCACAATTGCACCTCATGCCGACATTCTTTTCCAAAGAGTCAGACAGCAGCGTCTTTCGTCAAAACCAGAAGATCAATCCCCTTTCAACTGTTAACATCAAAAATATTTCTTCATGGTGTGATCTCCATATGGAAACCTTGCAGGAAAAGAATTAATGTCAATTGTCAGCTCTTCAAATTTCTTTGGACTTTAACTTGCACTACCATATCCAGTTTGCTTTGATATTTTGTTTTTTATTCCATGTTGAAGTTGAACACCAAGCTCCAGATATAGCAGGCAGCTTGATCATCTTCGGCCTTGGTATAATATCAGTCCAAGTTCCAGTGGTGGGTATCTTCTAATATTCAAATTAAAATGAAAATCAATAGGCTTTCTCAGCGCCGACGACGGACACGTTGATAAAAAAGGGAGCTCAAGGTCAGTAAAATTCGGGTTCAAGGAATGGCGGGCGTTGAAATGACTGCTGACGTCATCAAAGAAACCGCTAATGGTTAAGAGATAGGGACTAAGCTGGTCCCACCCTGCAAGTAAAGGGAAGAAATTTCTTGAACACCATAAAGCTGCGGGGGTTGCGACCAGGATAAATGGTGATTTCTGAGCCTGGCCGCAAACTTGGCTATCTCAACTCAAAACTAATGTTAAGGTGGGATGGTCCCTTTAAATTATGGTCAATAAATATCAAAATTAAATTATCTTTCAGATTTTGGGTGTCTCGTTGCCTTTTTAATGTTGCAAACTGCATTTAGTTGACGTTGATTACATAGCCACCATTGTTGTCCATGGTCACAATGCTCCACTAAATATAATATTTCTAAAAAACGAAGTCGAGTTGGGGTCTAAAAAAATCACCAACATATACAAAATTTCATACACTATAACATATCAAAATACTGAAACGAAACAAACGTTGGAACTTTAACCAATCTGCTTCCGAATCTAAAGCTTAGAATTTATGGTACTGAACAGTTCTGAACAAAAACATTGATATTTGGTAAATATGTCAAGAGTGGGCTTGCAAAATGACTTCAACAAAATGAAAATTTCGTTTTCTTTCCTAATATGCATGTTTTATTGCAGTTGTGGTGTTTTATTGTATATTTTTTTTGTCTAGAATGTACTAGGTTTCTTGCTGCTAAAGGTCACACTGTGACACTTAATGGCAAAATACTCAGAAACGAGACTGAGTTGGGGTCTATTTTGAATAGTATACTAAATGAGATTAAATTTTCTATCTATTGGTATCAGTTGTGAAACAAAATAAACGTTGCAACTTTACGAAATTTGGTATTGAAAACTGCCGATCATGATTACACACCCGCAGTTGCGCGCAGTAAATGCTGCTAACGAGATATTTGTCGCTAGCAGACGCAAGCGTTGGCAATGGATTGGTCGAACGGCGTTTTATTTGCTAACAGAGAACACTGCATACACGGCAAATAATGCCGTGTATGCTGTTGTGTATTTTGCACGTATGGTCAAGATTTTTTTATTTTAGATTTCATTTTGACAAAAATGCTGTAGATCAGGGCTGTCTCATCCCTATCTCCGTAACGTGTCGTGTGCGACCAATGACGTCACGGCATTGCGGCGTTCTGATTGGGCGGCAGCTCTGAATCGCCCGACTGGTGGTCCCCGCTCGACAAGCGCACGTGCGCCGACTAGACATTTGTAGTGGCATTGACGGCAGAAAAAGTGAGGTAATGCAGAACTCTGAATATACTTGAATAGAGTCTAAGCCGTTAGTAAAACGTAAAAACGTCAGATAGGTTTCTTGTTCGTCTTGATTTGAGCTTTTATGTGATATAACTTTTACCTTAGTGTCGAGGTTGGCAGCTATGTGGGAGAGCCCTAAAGTTGGGTCATTTTCCATAGGATTGCATTACAGCCGTCCGACCCTTCGTACCAGTGACGTCACGGAAATCGCTGCTTCGGCCTAATGAGCATACCTTCTATATAGGGCCTTGGCTGTAGATAGGTTGACGGGACTGATAATGGAAGGTAGGTAGTAGCAGGGGGGGTCCGTCCCTTTACCGTGCCATAGGAGGAAAATTGCTACCAAATGCTGCCAATGTGACGTCACTGGGATGGTCGAAAGCTGATTGGTCGCTGAGATTCAGGCGATGCTGTCAATTCTGGCGCACCGGCGCAGTGTTTTCCAGCCGTTGCGTGTATTGTTACACGGAGTTTGAATATTGTTTATTTGATAATAATATCACTTTTTATGTGTTTGAAGATCGGAAAAGCATATACATAAGTGGCATTCACACACTTGTCGTCTCAGAGATCATGAAGAATGACCAGCTTCAGCAGTTTAGCTCAGGTATTCAATTAATTCAACTGTATAAGCATGAGTATCATAGGCAGATCAGCCACGTTTCAGTTCAACCCGGTTTAACCTTTTTTTTGTCATTTTTGGCTTTCAAAGGGAGCATGATAATCTCATATTAAGTTGTAAAATACCTTAGCATTGTTTAAAACATAATGAGAAGGAGATTGGAGATGGAATAGTTGTAAATTGTTTCGGATCGGAAGTGGTTAGCTTCTATAAATCTTAATGCTTTGTGAAAATAACAACTTATTTGTCAAATTAAATAGTATCAAATAACAAATCAATCTATGCTTACCTCCCAGACTGGAAAAAAAATTCACTCACTGTCAGATGCGTCAGGGCCCAGGGGCTTTCGGGTCTCAAAATTCAGCGCAAGTCAGTAGGCGGAACTATGGTCAAGCGTACCCATTTTCGGGAACGCATTTTCGTTCCCATGTTTGGGAACGATAAACCCAAATATGGGAACGCCATGTAGGAATTATTTAAAACAAGAAAAAGAACCGTTAAATGACGTCCAAAAAATATAAAACGATCGTGAACCGCCTGATATTTGTCTCAATATTGTTGGGAAAGAGTTTGATATTGTAAGGCCCATCGTAGTTTCAAATCGTTCCCCTATTTCTAAAGCAGTCCATCATCCGGGCCGCGAACCCAAATTTGGGAACGCTCTCGTACACTGGCGCTGCAAGCGTTCCTTATTATGGGAACGGCGTACCCAAAATTGGGAACGATTTCACCGACGCCTTTCAGGGGCTCTTTTCATTAACAAGCATCATGTCCAACGCCGCAAATTATTGTTAAGCAACAATCATCAGATGACGTTTCCGGCAAGACCGTC